GACCTTGACTTTGATGCTATTCTTGCTGCCATGTATACTGTGACTATTAGTGATGAGGGTGACTGTTACCGGTGTTTTCCGCCCGACCCGGGCATTGAGACTCCTGCTCTAGGTCCTGGTGAGGCTGCTGCTCTAGGTGCTAGCGAGGCTGCTGCTCTAGGTGCGTCTGCTCCCTCAGGTACTGGTGAGTCTGCTCTCTCAGGTTCTGCGTCGGCTTCGGCCTCCCACACCTTTACCCTTGACTCGGGGGCTTCTCGCTCCTTCTTTCGAGACCGCACCACACTCACGCCACTTGGCCGGCCAGTTGCGGTCTCTCTGGCAGACCCCTCTGGGGGTCCTGTCCTTGCTCACTTCTCCACTGTCCTCCCGTGTCCGGCGGCCCCCTCTGGCACCCTGTCTGGTCTTTACCTCCCCTCGTTCTCTACGAACTTGGTGAGTGGTGCTGACCTACAGGATGCGGGGGTTCACCAGTTCACTCCTGCGAGTCAGCGGGTGACCCACTGCACGGACGCTCGGACAGGCCGACACCTGGCCACGTTTACACGTCGGCCGGGGTCGAGCCTGTACACACTGACCACTGCGTCTCCTCCGGTCCCTGCGTCTGGTCAGGTAGCTGCGTCGGGTCAGGTGTTTGCTGCAGCGTCCAGGTCTGGTCCTGAGTCTGCCCCCTGCTCGTGTCGCCTCCTGTCTCACGAGACTCTCCTCTGGCACCACCGCCTTGGTCACCCCTCCCTGCTTCGTCTCCGGAGCATGGCCTCCCGTGTCCTTGTCTCTGGTCTTCCCCGGTCCCTCCCTCCACTTCCTCCGGGGCCTGGCCCTACCTGCGTCCCCTGTGTCGAGGGACGACAGCGGGCTACCCCTCACTCCTCCCAGTTTCCTCCGACAGAGGCCCCGCTGCAGACGCTTCACATGGACGTGTGGGGCCCGGCCCGCGTCCGTGGACAGGGTCACGAGCGCTACTTCCTGCTGGTGGTTGACGACTACTCGCGTTACACCACAGTCTTCCCCTTACGCAGCAAGGGTGATGTCACTGAGGTGTTGATCGACTGGATCCGCGCAGCTCGTCTCCAGCTCAGGCGGAGCTTCGGCTCGGACTTTCCTGTTCTGCGTCTGCACTCTGACAGAGGAGGAGAGTTCTCCTCTGGCCTTCTGCGAGCCTACTGTCGTGCTCGAGGCATCCGCCAGACCTTCACGCTTCCGGACTCTCCACAGCAAAATGGGATTGCTGAGCGCCGCATTGGCATGGTCATGGACGTCGCCCGTACGTCCATGATGCATGCGGCTGCCCCCCATTTTCTGTGGCCGTTTGCGGTTCGGTACGCGGCGCATCAGATCAACCTTCAGCCCAGGGTCTCCATGCCGGAGACCTCCCCAGCCTTGCTGTGGACGGGGAAGGTTGGCGATGCGTCTGCGTTCCGTGTCTGGGGATCTCGGGCGTTTGTCCGCGACTTGTCTGCGGACAAGCTGTCCCCTCGTGCTGCTCCTTGCGTCTTCCTGGGTTTCCCCCCTGACGCCCCAGGGTGGCAGTTCTACCACCCCACCTCTCGCCGTGTTCTGTCCTCCCAGGACGTCACGTTCGACGAGTCGGTCCCCTACTACCGCCTCTTCCCCTACCGCACTCCGTCCCTCCCCCCGCCACCGCTCTTCCTGGTACCAGGTCCCCCCCCGGTAGACCCCCTCCCCCCCTCAGGGTCCTGCCCCTTCAGGTGTGTCCCAGGTAGACGCTGTTGAGCCTGTCGAGGTCGCTGGTGACTCTGGTGCTGCTGAGGGTGCTGAGCCTGGGAGTGCTGACTCTGGGGGTGCTGAGCGTGTGGGTGCTACGCCTGGGGGTGCTGAGCCTGAGGGTACTACGACTGGGGGTGCTGAGCCTGGGGGTGCTGAGTCTAGGGGTGCTACGCCTGGGGGTGCTGCGTCTGGGGGTGCTGAGCCTGGGGGTGCTACGCCTGGAGGTGCTGAGCCTGGGGGTGCGGAGCCTGAGGGAGCTGGGCCTACTGGTGCTGTGCCTGGCGGTTCTCCGGGTGCTTCTTCTCGCCGGGAGCCACTCTCTCCACAGGAGCTGCGTGAGTGGTTTGCCCGGCGCTGGAGGCGAGCTGCTGGAGCTGGAGGAGCTGCGGGTACTGGAGTTTCTGTTGCTGCTGAGGGAGCTGGTGCCACGGGTCCCGGAGGTGCTCGTACTGGGCGTACTGGAGCTGCTGGACCTACGGGTACTTCTGGAGCTGGAGCTGCTGCGGGTGTTGGTGCGGAGGCTACTGCTGTCGGTCCTGGAGGCGGTCCTGCTGGGGGTACTGCTGGTGCTGCTGGGGGTACTGGAGCTGGAGGTGCTACTGGTGCTGGTGCTGCCACAGGGGGTGCTGGTGCTGTCCCTGCTGTGTCTGGAGTCGCCGCGCGGCCTCGGCCGTACTTCGTTCCGCTCCTTCAGCAGGTTCTTGGTCTCCCGTCTTCTACTGGTCCTCCTCCTCCCTTAGAGTGTCCACAGCCTGTCCCGTCGCAGTTACAGTTACAGCCGGCCTCCCCACTGCCTGCTCCGTCTCCCTACACTGGTCCTACTGGAGGTCTTGCTGAGCGTCGTGAGCCTGCGTCTCGCCCTGCGTCGCCTGTCCGTGCTGCTCGCACTAGTGGTCGCGGTTCACGTCAGCGTCCTCCTCCTGTCCCTGGCACGCACCGGATGTCTCTGCGTCCGTCCACTGCTCCTCTGCGTGCCCCTTTGCCTTCTCCTCCTGAGTCTTCTCTTCCTGCTCTTGCCGACCCGGAGTCGGACTCTCTTCGTGCTGCCAGTCCTACTGTCACGCGTCTCCTTGCTACTGTTGTCACTGACCCTTCCTTTGAGTCCACTGCTGCGTCTGCCCTAGTTGCTGAGCTCGTCGACTTTGCTGCTCGCTGTCGCCTAGACTACGTCGCCAGTCTTGTTGCTGAGTCTGAGTCTGTCTGTCCTCCGTCCGTCGGGGTTGAGTGTGCCCTTGGCACGGACGTCCTTGAGGACAGGCAGGAGGAGTTCCAGTGCTTGGCCGCTGCTTCACCTCATCTCGTGTCCGTACTGCTTACCCCTGAGGGAGACCCGGATGCACTTGACATCCCGACTCCGCGCTCTTACGCGGAGGCGATAGAGGGTCCCTACTCCTCTCAGTGGCAGGCAGCTATGGACGCAGAGATGGCTTCCTGGAAGTCCACAGGCACCTACGTTGACGCTGTTCCCCCTCCTGGGGCGAACATCGTCAGTGGCATGTGGATTTTCAGGGTGAAGCGGCCGCCGGGTTCTCCGCCTGTCTTCAAGGCGCGTTACGTGGCCCGAGGCTTCAGTCAGCGGCAGGGAGTTGACTACTTTCAGACCTTCTCTCCCACCCCGAAGATGACCACTCTTCGGGTACTGCTGCACGTAGCTGCTCACCGTGACTACGAGCTACACTCTCTTGACTTCAGCACTGCTTTCTTGCAGGGCAGCCTGCACGAGGAGATCTGGCTGCGTCGCCCACCTGGTTTCACCGGGTCTTTTCCTCCTGGCACCCAGTGGAGCCTACGGCGGCCAGTCTACGGTCTCCGCCAGGCACCGCGTGAGTGGCACGACACACTGAGGACTACACTTGCGGCTCTTGGGTTTGCTCCCTCTACTGCCGACCCGTCGCTGTTTCTGCGCACCGACACTTCTTTGCCGCCGTTCTACATCCTCGTGTACGTCGACGACTTGGTCTTTGCCACAGCTGACACTGCTGGACTCGCCCACGTGAAGTCCGAGCTGCAGAAGAGACACACGTGCACTGACCTGGGTGAACTGCGCAGCTACCTTGGCTTGCAGATCACTCGGAACAGAGCACGCCGCACCATTACCCTGACTCAGTCACACATGGTGCAGCAGGTCCTTCAGCGCTTCGGCTTCACGTACTCCTCGCCTCAGGCCACTCCTCTGCCTTCGGATGAGTCCGTAGAGTCGAGTGGCCCGTACCCAGAGCTTGTTGGCTGCCTCATGTACCTGATGACCTGCACACGACCTGACCTTGCATACCCTCTTAGCATTCTCGCACGCTATGTTGCTCCTGGGAGACACAGACCGGAGCACATGGCTGCAGCGAAGAGGGTGTTGCGCTACTTGTGCAGTACGTCGGGCATGGGGCTTGTGCTTGGAGGACAGAGTCCAGTGGTCCTTACTGGGCACGCAGACGCTTCTTGGGCTGACGACCAGGCTACGCAGCGGTCGTCATAGGGTTACACCTTCAGCCTTGGTTCCGGCTCTGTTTCGTGGCGGGCTACTCGCTCGTCTTCTGTTCTCGGCTCCAGTTGTGAGGCTGAGATCTACGCAGGAGCCATGGCTGCACAGGAGCTTCGCTGGCTCACCTACCTGCTGACTGACCTCGGAGAGCCGCCTCGTTCTCCTCCAGTGCTGTACGTAGACAACAAGGCCATGCTGGCCTTGTGTCGGGAGCAGCGACTGGAGCACAGAACGAAGCACATTGCTCTCCGCTACTTTCTTGCTCGTGAGCTGCAGCAGCGTGGTCAGCTGCGTCTTGCGTACGTGGCCTCTGAGGCCAACACTGCTGATATCTTCACCAAGGCGCTTGCGCCTTGTGACCATCAGCGCTTCTGTACTCAGCTGGGCCTTGTGCCTACCTTGCCTCACTTGCTCACCTCTTGACCGTGCTTGTACTGTTACATATATATATACCTGCTCTTGCTTGTCTAGCCTTTTTATATATATGTACTCCTGCATGTGAACTGGCCTTGTGGCCTTGAACTTGTGCTCGGAATGTGTGGTGACTTTGTGATCCACCCTGAGCTTGCTTTGCTTTGCTTTGCTTGACTGGTCTTGTGACCCCTTGTTCTCCCCCACTTTGCCTATGGGGGTGTGTCAGAACATATAGCTCATGCATATTGTGTAGGCTATAGTGGGGTAGCCCATAAGGGGTACAACCCAATTAGGGTTATTACTTGTACTCAATTCATTCATAGTTCATTCATTCCTTGTTTCTTCTCAACAATGGGAGATCTCGGGCGACGGAAAATGGAGTAGATCACGTAGGCGACTGCAAATGGGGGATCGCTACGAGATCGCGTGGGAGATAGCGAGCGCGACGGGGAGAGGGGGGGGGGAACAGCGAGCGCGACGGGGTGAGGGGGGCAGATAACGACGGCGCGGAACCTGATGGGAGATAGCGACGGCGCGAGACGTGCTTGCTAGCTTAACTTATGTCGCGAGACGTGATCGGAGGGGAGGCCATGAGCGCGAAGGCGATGCGAAGACAGGTGCACGTGAGCGCGATGGTGACGGGAGGGAGGAACGTGAGCGCGATGCCGATGGGAGGGGAGGACGTGAGTGATAGGAGATGAAGTGGGGTAGGAGAAAGGCGACGGGAGGGAGAGCGCGAAGGCGATGGGAGGGGGAGCGGACAGGCGACGGGATAGAGAGCGGACATGCGACGGGAGGGAGAGCGCGAAGGCGAAGGGAGGGAGGGCGGACAGGCGACGGGGGGGGGGGAGCGCGAAGGCGACGGGAGGGAGAGCGCGAAGGCGAGGGGAGGGGGAGCGGATAGGCGACGGGAGAGAGAGCGCGAAGACGAAGGGAGGGAGGGCGCGAAGGCGATGGGAGGGAGAGCGGACAGGCGACGGGAGGGAGAGCGCGAAGGCGAAGGGCGGGAGAGCGCGAGGCCGACGGGAGGGAGAGCGCGAAGGCGAGGGGAGGGGGAGCGGACAGGCGACGCGAGGGGGAAGGGATATCGCGAGGGCGACGAAAGGAAAAGGGGGACATCGAAGGCAACGTGAGGGAAGGCAGATAGTGAGGGCGACGGGAAGGAAGAGGGGACATCGAAGGCGAGGGGCGGGAGAACGGGAAGGCGACGGGATCAGAGGGAAATCGCGAGGGCGAGGGGACAAGAGGGGTGAACGGGAAAATAACGGACCGGGAGGGGAGACCGTGACGACGACGGGAGGGCCGTCAAGCGTGTGTTTGCGAGGGCGACGGAAAGGCGACGGGACGGACTAGAGAACGAGGCGACGGCAGACCCCACTAGCAATGGCGAGTGCGACGAGCAACGAGGGGAGATAAACGAGGCGACAGGCAGCGAACCTAAAGTTCATACTCTTGCTAAGTCGACAATTGACGCACTCGTCGGTAATTACGTGGCTATGACACAAACGCCTATGCTTTCAGCTATACTACTTACTATGCTATACGGAAACTAGTGATGAATGGAGTGACAGAAATCTAGTAATGCACCCCCCACCAGCTTGAAAATGAGGTTGGGCCTGCGATGGGAAACCATCGCCTGGGGTTTGTCGTGCGGATGCGGCACGCAAAAATGCGACGGCTGAAATGAGAAAGAAAGTCCATTTTGGCGGGAACCACTACGTTCGATTGTGGCAAAGGCCAATAACATGAGTTCACTCTGCCCATACAAATCGTTTGAAACAGTGTTTTTGAGACTGGTTTCATCCTCACTTGCAACTCCACATTCAAGTTGGGACGGGGGTCACTATTTTAGCTGCTGGCTTTAAGCTTAACAAGGTGAATCTAATGGTGTGCTTATAACTTGACATTGATAAGAAATAGTGTACCATTGATGCTCCTAAAGTCTCAGACAGTATCCATGGAGGCCTTGGGATTCGAGTCATTGTCATTGTACCGTTCGCATGTACACTTCGTTTACATGTAATTGATGTAATTATCGATTATGGCTTGTTATTATTTACATGTAACTATATAACTTTAGTAGATATGCAATCTGTGTTGCGCTCTACAGCGAATCACAAACTTGTCTTTTGGATCCAAATATAATGATGACACATTCGAGGTTCTGGTGGACATTGTCCAACGCATGAATGCGGACGATGTAGCATTGTTGCCAACCACAGCTCTTATCGCTGAATGTTTGTGCACCATGTTGCATGTTTGGCCGATCATTCATTCGGTCAGAGTTTTGAGTGATGCTGCTGGGACCTAGTGTTTCTTGTAATGATTCCATCACGTGCTACGCCACTATAAAACAGTTTTTTCCGTTTTTCGCCACATGACTATCACGTGAAACCATATTTCTCCTGGTTTTGATTCGTTGTCGAGCTACACGAGGCGCTGCTGACGTCTGCGCTATCTCCCTGTCATCCGTTTCATCGACTGAAGGGAGATGATCTCTGAGGAATACAGTCACTGCCCGAAATATTCAAAGAGCATATCATCTGACCTAATCATCATCTGGAGGCGATGAGGGTTCCAACCCACATGCCCCATGCGGGTCAAGGAGTCAGGTTTTAGCAGGACACGAAGAAGCGGGAAGTTTGATCACTACGATTATTATTCCACAACACGATCACGGAAAGCGTCGTATTTCGCAGCAAAAATCTACAGACATATCGACTTTTAGTGTGGTCTCGTGGTTTTTTTAAGCACGATAGGACAGTTTGTGAAATCGTTTGATACATGGAGTCTGAAGCTGGGAATTTTTAATTCACTGGGAAATTTTATGGTCTCGGCACTTCTCTGAAGCATCTCTCCCCGTGTGAGTTCTTTCATGCTGCCCCAAGCATGAAGGACTGCATTTGTTGGATTTGGGGGGGGGAAGGATGCCTTCTTTCATTCGTGAAGCAGACACACAACTCTGCCGCGAAATGCGACGCGGCTGAGCTCTCTCTCACTTCGATTCAAGCAAGGTCAGCCAGTCTGTCAACGCCAAAGTGGCTTGTCCTGTCCCTTTGCGGATGGGGTGGACATTGCGGGTTTCCGCGGCGCATTCCCAAGCGTGCGTCACGCGTGCGGCGATTGTCCTCGTCATGATCCGCGCCTCCCCCATCCGCCCCCCATGACCCCGTCCCGACACTTCTCATCTCATCCCCCTTCCAGTTTCCGCCAACTCAGCTGCGGGTGTGGGGTGTCTGCCTGCGACCTTGAAGCCAGCCAGCATGCAGCGTGGCATGTGTGGTGAGCTCTTGCCTCACCGTGTTGATGGGCCTGTACTGTACTTCTTTGTGTGACTCTGGCCTCTCCACTCCCTCCCCTTCCACTGTATTTTGCATTCTTCCCTTCCCATTCATCCCCGATTCCGCGCCAGGGCATCTCTCGACTCGGGGAATCCCCACGAAGTGGGTGAAAACGTTTTGGGGCATTCCTTTACAGTACACTCCATCTGTACCAAAGTGTCGTTTTTGGGGTAAAAAGTTACAGTTTGAGTTTCACACTTCCTGCCAGATCCGTAAATTTGTTGAAGTCTACAGTTTTTTGTCATTGTCAAGAGCCCCCGAGGTGCCCTCAGTGCTTGTAAGGATTTCGGAAGCTGTAATGATGCCGCGCGACTCCGAATTTATTTTGCCCCTCATGCTTTTGCATCTTCCCCTCAGCTTTTCTCTGGTCCTCCTTCCTCTAGCAGTGGATGATGATGCGTTCTCTCCACGCCTATTTTCCGGCTTTTCCTGTTTTCCGAGCAAAGCAGCAGCATTTCGGCATTCGCTCCCCAACTTGCATTTATCACCACGGGACCTTCGTTGTTTCCACCAGTCCGTGCCCTTTCGCGTTCCCATTCCACAGGCCACCCACTCAATCCACTGCCATGCTCTGTTTCTTTCTCGTTCATCAGTAAACACTCTCGCATGGTTACTATCTCTGATAATCGGCGTTGAGTGCATGATAAGTATTCGTGTGTCTTCGACCACGTCTGGCTGGGACCCTAGTGTATGCATGTGAATCGTCGGGAACCAGTTGTCGAACTCACACGGAATTAATTCAACGCGCACGCAACAAGCGCGGTACACTATTGGTCCGAAACGGCTGCTTGTCCTCAGGTCTTCTTCAAGCTCATTCATTAAACCTTTGCGGATCTTGTGTCAAAGTTCGTACCCGTTTTTCTTTTTTCGGACTGGTAATAGCTTGATTCTCCCAACTATGTCGGACGTGGCGCATAACGACTATTTTAAGGCTCCTGATCTGCACAGCCTTGGCGGGGGTTGCGGCTTGTCCTCCCTCCCTCCTACTCGTTTCCGTGCCGCCTCTTCGGAAAAGGCGTTTACTACTCACCCAGCTCTCAGCCAGGATTCTCTACCCATGTTGGCTCATAGTACCTCTTCTGCCTCCTCCGTCGCCTTCGTTTCTTGCGAAGGAAACGCTATTGCTAGCGACGGAAACGCTGTCACCGTCGCATGTGCGCCAGGCAGCAGATTTTTTGGAGGAGTTCCTACACGAATAAACTCCCACTCAGCTCGAGATGGAAACTATTGTGACGAATTGTTTTTTTCGGACGCACTCGGTGCCCCCGACCACCGTGGATGCACGAATCGCAACCCTCAATGATTACTGTGGGGTATATGATGCTCGAGACTCTTCCGATCCGGAAACTGCGGCGGCCGCCCGCGGCGAATTTGTGTTTCCGGGGAGACTTGTATCGCGGATGATGATGGGCGCGGAGCCTGGTGCGAGGGCCGAGGAAGATGCTTCACAAAGATATTTCTCCCGCAGCAGCGGCGCCGGGGATGCCGCCGCAACCGGCGGGGCCATGCCAAGCGCTTGGCGTGCGCGCATTCTATCGGCTCTTAGATCGACGGACGTATCGGATGCCGATTCGCTAAATTTCTATTACCAGCAGCAGCAGCAGCAGCAGCAGCAGGATCGCGAGCCGTGCTCCGCGCAGTGCGCGCAACTCCCGCCACTCGTCATGGCGGAGGGCACCCACAGCGCCCCCCGTGGCGATTACCACCGCGAACACGGCGACGCGACGCTGCCAGGCGAGACTCTAGGGGGCCGGACCATGGAACGTGGTGCCGCAGCTTTACAGCTGCATCATGCCATCCACCAGCAGCAGCAGCAGCAGCAGCAGCAGCAGCAGCAGCAGCAGCAGCAGCAGCAGCAGCAGCAGCAGCAGCAGCAGCAGCAGCAGCAGCAGCAGCAGCAGCAGCAGCAGCAGCAGCAGCAGCAGCAGCAGCAGCAGCAGCAGCAGCAGCAGCAGCAGCAGCAGCAGCAGCAGCAGCAGCAGCAAGCAGCAGCAGCAGCAGCAGCAGCAGCAGCAGCAGCAAGCAGCAGCAGCAGCAGCAGCAG